GGTGACCCACCGGAGAAGGGGCTCAGCATGCTGCAGTACACAGACAGCAAAGCAAACCAGCCGTGGGCTGAACCATGGCAGCGGGTAAAGTGCCACTTGACACCCTCGGGCCATGGGACTAGGAGTGGTAACAACTCATGGTCAGCTCTTTCTCCCCAGCCAGGCCGTGTAGGGCCCTGCTCTTGACAGGGGCTCTGCAGGGGAGGGGGGCTTTCGAAGGCAACGCACGCTAGCGATTTCAGCACGGGCAGGGATTGAACTCCGGGGCCCAACGCAGTCACCTCCCAAGCTCTGGGTGCTGAAGTTGGAGGACCCCAGCGGGAGGGAGAAGTTGAATATCAGATCCCTGCGGGAGGGGGATTTATTAGCAGACATTTCTCAACATGCAACACCTGGAGATCAGCCCCAGATACCCCACCCCAAGCCTGTCGTGGCACTAGATCCTGCCCCTCTGCCTTCCACCCCAGCCCCTGCCACCCACCCCAGCTCCACCAGCACTTGTTCTAATGCCCCAAGCTCCTGAGCTGAGTCAGAGAGCCACCGTCTTCCTCAAATCCATCTGCCAGAGAAAGGTCCCCTCTTTTTCCCCCTGAGACATGGATCCCCCATGCCCCCAACCTCCAAATTACACCAGCCTGAGGCCCTGCATGGCCAATACACCCAGGTGATCATTCTAGGGACAAACAAGGGATTGCAGGTCCTTGTTACAAACACTTCCTACTGCTGATTTCTCTCTCTGCCTGGGCTCTGCACAGCTGGACTCCTGCTAACTCAGGGCCCTGGAGATGGAGGGAGACAAGAATCCCAGTGCAGATGTGGGGCACACGCCGAGCCTGTGAGCACTCAGCGCGGCTGGCCTAGCACAGCTACTGGCCTGCCCTCATGCCCATCAAACCCCATCAGGGGGTCCCTCGCTTACGTCACACGGCTCCCCCACCATGGAGCATCATGAACCTGCAGTTCAGGTTGCTGCAGCGCATTTCCTAGCAACGCAATCATGGAACAGACAGGACATTGCCAGGGAAAGCCAACGTTCATGGACCATGTCAACCTCCCCTCCCCCGTCCGGCCACCCAAACACCCACGTCACCCTCACCTCCCCCGCCCAACCACCCAACCACCACCACCCAGCCTCCTCTCCCCCACCCGGCCACCCAAATGCCCATGTCACCCTCTCCTCCCCCACCCGGCCACCCAAACGCCCATGTCACCCTCATCTCCCCCACCCGGCCACCCAAACGCCCATGTCACCCTCATCTCCCCCAGCCGGCCACCCAAATGTCCCCACCAGCCTCCCTTCCCCCGCCTGGCCACCCAAACACCCATGTGCGCCACATCGCATAGGCTGGGGGAGGCTGTGCCTCCCCAAACAGCCCGGAGTGATCCCACCCACGTTCCTCTTCAAAGCCCTGCTTGCCTTTCCCTGCTTGGCCCCAATGGCCCAGCCCAGGCAGGCCGCTCCTCTTCAGGGAAGCAGCGTGCTGGGGCTGGGGCTAGGGTGGCCAGGACTTGGGGTGGCTGGGGACGCCCTGCGCTGGGGGGCCCCAGCGTGGGGGGGTGGGCTGAAGGCACTGGGGCTGCCCGCCCTGTATTTGGGGGGCCCGCATGCCACCCACCCGCCCTCCCTGTGCTCAGGGGCTGCGGAGGGGGGGAGGGAGGACTACATGCTGCCCATCCCCCTTGTGCTTGGCAGCTGGGGGGGGGCCGTGCGCCGCCTGCCTGTCCTGTGCTAGAGGACAGGGAGGGAGGGCCCACGCACTGCCTACCTGGTGCTCCAGGGCAGTTGGTGGCCACGGGGAGGGGGAGCTCTGGCGGAGAAGGGGGGCGGATCCTCAGGCGGGGGGGCAGGGCCCTCTGGTGCTTCACCTGCCACCCATGCAAATGCCTGTGCCAGCCTCCCCTCCACTGCCTGGCCACCCAAATGCCCCCATCAGCCTCCTGCCCCCCACCTGGCCACCCAAACACCCATGTCACCCTCCTCTTCCTGCCTGGCCACCTAAACGCCGGTCCCAGCCTCCCCTCCCCCACCTGGCCACCCAAATGCCATGCTAGGCAAACACATTCACACACTACCAGCTGCACCACAGACCCTCTTTCAGCTCCAGCACCCAGTACACCGTCCCGCTCCCCCCATCACACCACCAGCCTGAGGAATGCATGTTCTCCACAGACGGAGGCGCAATGCTGAGCGTGCCCACGGTTTGGGCTGTACGTGTGAATATGCTGGTGAGGCCCTGGGCATGCCGTGGCTGGGTGTGTGTTGGTTGGAAGGCAGCGTGCTATGTTTGGGTGGCCAGGCGTGGAGCTACCATGGGAAATGAGGCACAAAGGTGACAGGCCCAAGGGCTGAGAGCTGAGCTGGGACACGTACCCAGGTCTCTAAATCACCCTCCCGCTTCAGCAACCGCCACTGTCAGCGACCAAAAGCTGGGGGGAGGGGATCTCCTAGGTTTTTGTAAAAATCCGTATTTCTCATCATAGGAAGTCATCCCGTTGGTATCGCTTGGTGGCAACATCCATCCACGTTAGAAGCAGAATGAGGTAGGGGGCTGGAGTGGAGAAATCCGGGCTGTGCAGAGGGGCACGAGGCTGGGTAGGCAGGGAGCAGAGCTGTATGGGGCTGTGTGGGGAGGGGCACTTGCTGAGCCATGGGGCTCTCTGCTGTCTCCTTGACTCCCACTGCACAGCCATCCCCAGCCCTGCTGCCTGATCTACGCCCCAATACCCGGGCCAGCTCCCTTCCCTTCCCCCTCAGTTAGAAACTGTTGCTATTGATTCTCAACATCTTTTCCCTGGGAGGTGCTGGGCACAGGGGCGGGGTGACCTTCAAGATCTGGGGAGTGTGGGTTTATTAGCCAAAGACCGGAGCGTGCCAGGGTCAGATTTCCAAAAGGCTCACGGTCGAAGTGTGACCTGACTACAACAACGGTACAGAAATGTCAGCTGTCCTCTGCTGCATCCTTGTGCTCGGTCCAGCACTGTGGTGTTGGAGAGGAATTTCAGCCTGGCGTGAAGGGCAAGTCTCAAGTGAGTCACTCATTTCTGCCACCTCCACAAGACTCCAAACACACATCACCCACCACTGAAATGCTACCACCTCTGGAGGGAAACCCAGCAGCCATTTAACAGGGCACAGCAACACTCCAGTTTAATTCAGGGAATGGGGGAGAAGATCTTATCCAGATGAAACTACCAGGGGAAGTTTAGCTACCCCAGGTAGGATTTGGCCAGGATGACCCTTCTGTGGTACAAAGCACGCCATGACAACAAGCAGGCACAGAAAGACCAGCAGATGGCAACACAGTGCTCCCTAGTACCAAGGTGGGGCATTGGGCCCATATTGAAGAGTGTCCCCTAATGAACCAGCAACACCATAGCCCACTTCTTCTGGTCCCTCCCTTACATGTCTCCCATCACAACCCTGGCCAAGGCAGACCCTGCTTAGCTTGAGAAGTGCATAGCCTGATATCACTATAAACCACATGGTCAGTCAGGGATGGGCTCCATCATCCCAACACACCCATGGCCATGGGGTCTAGGCACCTGCAAGTCCTGAGGTGCCAGCACATGAATTCCCAAACCAAACCACTTAGCTGGACATGCCACTAAAGATCACACATGGCTGCGCAAACCCACCAGCCCACATTGGCACAGGCGCTACAGCAAGGGGCACACAGCCCAGCAGCCTTAGGTTCCATCTCTCCTTGGAAGAGGCAAAACAGACAAGCACGAGCCAGCAGAGTTAGCCACGCCACCACGCTCTCACACATGCATGCATCACCAAAGGGACCTGCTGGAGGGACAGAGCCAGTTCACTGCAGCCTCCACTCCTCAGCCCAAAGTGCGCTGGGAATTCCGGCTGTGCCAGCAGGAGCCAGGCAGACGGTGCCAGCCCAGCTTCCTGTTCATTTTCCTCTCCAGAACAGGATCCCTCATGGGCCCCAGAAACTCACTGCCAGAGCCAACAAAATGAAATTCAGGCCTACTTTGATTGTAAGTGCTGCGGAGCAGGGGTCCCGTCCATTCTCACTGGGGAGCACCCTGCATGTTGGCAGCACTCTAGCAAGACATAAGAAAACTGCAGGGCTCAAAACCAGTCCAGCTGAGGACTTGAGTTATTGACACCCAAACCTGGCCTGCCCCTGCAGGGACCTGGGAGCCCCTCTTCTCTTTGCAATAGCTATTTTCCTCTTCCAGTGGTGTCTGGAGAGTCATGTAAGTCATGCAGCTAAGAGCCCTGGCCGGCTGGAGCCTCTGGTTAGCACCATTTTATACACACTGCCCTGCATTTTCTTCCAGGGCGCCTGAAATGCTTGGCAGAGACAGAGAAAGAAATGTCCTTTCTGCTTCCAAGAGGAAGAGAGGGGGCAGGTTCACTGGAGGGTGACTCCCTAGCCAATCTCAGCAGCCCTGGGCATCTAGACCCAAATTGAAATGAGGTTGTATGTGTGGGGGGGAGGTTACTTGTTTACTGGTAGTTGTGTGTGTGGGGGGTGTTCCTTTGAAACCTGCCCTTACTACAAAGCGTTTGCTTCCACTTAATGAATGTTCATGACACACAACTTCCTCCTACAATCCAGAATACCCCCCCCCCCGATAAACGGCAGCCTGCTGCAACTGATGGCTATTTCCAAAAATGTCTGTGTGTGTGGGGGGGGGGGGCTTTCACGCTGAAGTTTTCTGCTTTATAGCTGAAATAAAGGTGTGTGGGGGGGGAATAGGAGGTCTCACAACAGCACAAGGTGAGTGGCACTTACTGAATCAACATACAAACTAGTTATTAACAACCTGCTCCCCCCTGCACTAGCTCTACCATATCAAGCCCAAGACACCCCCCAACAAAAAATCCGGGGGAGATCTGCAACCAATCTCTTGCAATCTTTATGGAAAGTGACTCCGCCAGCCAACCCCCGCCCCCGCCCCCCCAACAAGCAAACAGCACGACAAAGAGTTGGCAATATCACAGCCCGGTGCACTGAGGGCAACGCGGATTCCCTTACCTTTTCTACGGGGGAGGGGGGAGACAAGCCTCTGCTCCTCGCCGCTTTGTGTGTCTCTTGCCTGCTGCGGGGGTTGAGATGGAGCGGGGTGTCGGAGGATCGTACCGGAATTTTTACAGCAGACTGCAAATTGGTGAAGCAGGGAGGACAGGTTTCCACGGGGCCCCGGGAGCCGAAGCAAATGGGGAGCTCGCCTGGAAGAAGAAAGAGCTGCTTTCCCTGGAACACCCCCAGCGCCTGGGCCGTCGGCTGCTCCGCCACATCTGCAGCTCCGGAGATCAGGGATGTTTGCCGTTGCCTCTAGCGCTGGATTTGTGTCTCTCCGTCCTGGGGAAGGAGGGTGGAGGGGCTGGTCTCTGCTTCCAGGCGGCAGGCTCCTAGGTGGGGAGGGGGCTTGCGGCGCAAAGCGAGCAGGGGCTGCGGGGAGATGGAAGCGTCTCTTCTCCTCCTCCGGCTTTTTTTTGGTGTGGGGGGGGGAGTGAGTGGTTTGAAAGGAAAAGGCTGCGGATCAGAGGTGATCGCCTGTTTCAGGGGAAAAGAGGAGAGGGAGGGAGGGAGGGAGGAAGGGATGGTGGGTGGGTGGATGGATGGATGGGGGTGTGAAGGGGGGTGTTATTTCCCAGCGTGATTTATTGCAGCCCTGCGGAGCTGTCTGAAATTGACCAGCGCTGATCAGTTTCAGACAAATTCTCCATTTCAAGGCTGAACCAAAGGAGCTGAGCGCATGCCCCCCAGCAGCTCCTCCCCTGGCTAGAGGGCAGCACTAGGACAGGCTGGAGAAGCAGGCACACAGCGCAGCCGGGGGGGGGGGGACGCGCACAATGCAGTCCCAGCCCCGGCCCACCACCCACCTCCCCACATTCCCCAGGAAATCCCTGCAGGAATCCAGCTCCCCCGCTGCGCCAGGATCAGGGAAGGTCACAGGCTGCAGCCCGGCCGCTGCAGGGAGGCGAGGAGAGCTCCTCCGGGCGCAGGGGTGTGAGCAATGCACCCCGGGGGGCAGCTGGGAAACGATGGCTGCCCTGCATTCCTCTCTCACACATCCTTTGCCCGTTCCCTCCCTCAGCCCTGCGGCAAGGGCTGAAAGGATCGGAGAGGGGTAGGAAGCCCCAGGGGAGGGGGTGGCAGGCAGGTTCCACAGCAGCACTTTTATTTTTGGTGCCCTTTTACATTCCCCGCTGGTTCTCTTTGCTAAGTGGCTTAAGGGAGTTGCGAAGAAGGGGCGGGGGCTGCGAAGAAGGGGCTAGGTCTGGTGGTTCCATCAGGACTCGTGGAGTCTCTTCTGAGCTCTGCCACCGATTTGCTGTGTGGCCACAGGCAGGTCACTTTGCCTCAGTTTCCCATTGGTAAACTGCTACTATTAATGAAGTGCCTTAGGGGGAACTGCCAGGCTCAGCCTGGGAACTAACGCCTGCAAAGTGGTTTGAGGTTCTCACGTGAGAGGGGGCACAAAATCCTTGCAGTAAATGAAACTGCTGTGAATTACCTGGGCATAGAGGGGAAGGAGAGACCAAAGCATCTGCGTGAATGGTGTGTGTGTTCAGACTAGAGTTGGGGCTGGCTTGGTGCCCTGCAGTAGTGCAAGGCCAGGCAGCATCCCTGGGCTCTGTGCCCACTCCTCCTTGCCAGCATGGGGCTTTGAGTGCATGCAGGCCAGGGGAGGGTCCAGGGCGCTGGCTGGGAGCCCTTCACCTTGCTCCAGTGACCCTGCAGCCAATCCCGATTCTGAAAGTTCTGCCAACTACCTGGTCAGAAGGGGGCAGCCAAAGGCTCCCATAGGGGGGCTGTAGCAGTAGATGGAACAAGAGCCTAAGCCAGTGCAGGGGGGGGGGCAGAGAGGAGGGGAATTTGCACAACCATGATTCATCCCCTTTCTTCTTTACGATCTGAAACCTCAGCAACGTTTTGAGATTGGAGCATTTCCAGATTCCCGAGAACTCAGGGACAGCGCAGGCAGCCAGGACAACCAATACCGACTATGGGGCTATCGAGAGGACTCGCGACGCCTCTTTAGAGGAGGAAGGGCTAAGGTTACAGCTGTGCCCACATGAACAGGCATAAGAATTAACCTCCAAGACAACTGCCAGCCACTGCTTTACTCCCTAGCCACAGCCTCGCTCCTGGGAGCCGCCCCTTTATCGGCCTTCCCCACAGGAAGTGATGTAGTTTAAGACAGCAAATGTAGCCAATAAAGCCGCTTTTCCCTGGCCCCTCCTGTAGCCACTGAGCCCTGGCAAAGTCGGTTTAAAGCAGGGGCAGGTGCTAGGGAATCTGGCCATGGTGCAAGACAAGGGACAGCAGGTCCCCGCGTCTCTCCGGGGAGCCCATCACACAGCGCCGCCCCGGCCACCTTCAGCGTGTGATGTCATCAGATCACCCTGATGTCATGGCAGCTGGGCGTGACGCGCAGGAGGGCGGTGGTGGCTGTATGGCCCGGGCGGCCTATGGCTATTTCCGTCGGGCGGAGGCCGCTGCCCCGGCTGGGCCCTACGATGGGGCCGCCCCGCTTCCGGAGGCAGGAGGTGGGGGAGCGCTGGAGCTCGCGCCACGCCCCGCCAAGGGGTGGGGAGGGGAGAGGAGAGATTCCCCGGCCGTGACTAAGTGGAAACTCCCCGCTGCGGGCTCAGGGCTGTTGGGCAGCGGCCCAGCTGGGGCTGGGCCGGGCGGGGAACATGAAGGGCGGCAGCAGCAACAGCAGCCAGGGCTGCTCCCAGGAGGGGCCGGTGGCTGGCTCCCCTTCCGGGCCTGCGGGGCTCAGTTCTGCTTCCCTGGGGCCCGCTGGAATAGTGCCCTGCTGCGCGGGTCGGGGTGTGTGTGAGAACGGGCTGATGGGTGAGACTGGGGGTTGGGTGAGACTACAGCGGGAGAGGGGAGAGTAGGGCCAGCTGAGCCCAGCTTGGGGGCGGGGGGTTACAGTAAGCACAGGAGTCGGAGCTTCCTGTGCTGGAGCCAGTGCAGGCTGCCCTCCCCCCCCCCCTCAGCTGCTGTGGAGGGTCCCAAGCCATGGGGATTGCACCCCTGGCTCCATCTCACTGTCTGTTACTGTGTCGCTGCCTGGTTTGCAGGGCTCTTTGGGAGTGGTCCTGTGATCCACAAGAGCCAAGCAAGCCCTGAGCTCTGGTCCTAGATGAGCCCCTGACTCACCCTGTGACTGTGGCCAAAGGAGGCCAGCTGTGAAAAGGGGTGGGCAGAGAAGCAGGAGCTTCCTGACAGAGCAGATCAGAGTGTTGGCAAAGCCCTATCCCAGTGACTGGGGGAAGTGGGGCAGGTGCTGGAGAAGGTGGGCAGAAGCAGAAACCTGGCTGACCCCTGGATGCAGGGGTGGCTCTATGTATTTTGCCGCCCCAAGCACGGCAGTCAGGTGGCTTTCGGCAGCATGCCTGCGGAAGGTCTGCTGGTAACGTGGATTTGGCAGCATGCCTGCGGGTGATCTGCAGGTCCCACGCCTTCGGCGTACCCACCGCCAAATTGCCGCCGAAACCGTGGGACTGGCGGACATCCCGCAGGCATGCCACCGAAGGTAGCCTGACTGCCGCCCTCACGGAGACCAGCAGGCCCCCCCGCGACTTGCCGCCTCAGGCATGTGCTTGGTGCGCTGGTGCCTGGAGCCACCCCTGCCTGGATGCCAAAGCCAAGCTTCCTTGGAGAGTGGATGGGTGAGTGGGCACAGCAGGGTCTGTGGAAAACCTATTCCAAACTTCTCCCTTTAAAAAAACAGAGTTCTTTACAAAATGCTGAAGCTGCTAAAGGCCCCAGGTCCTGCTGACCAGCTGGATGGGAAAAGGGAGTTCAGTTTCAGTGGCTCTATCAATACTCACCTTCTCTGCTGCTGCCTGCGAAAGGGGCAAGCTAATTATTTTGGGGCAGGTCTCTGGCCTGTGTTACAGGAGGACAGAGTAGGTGATCACTGTGCTTCTGCCCTTAAAATCTGTGAATTGGAAATACACTGAGATCAGCCCTCATTTCAATATGGGCCACAGGTAACCTAGGAGTTAATGTCAATGGAGCCAGGCCATTGAGCTAGAGGGAAAGATTCCGGATCTCGTGGCCAGGGCCTCAAGCCATCCTGGACTCCTGGGGCTGACTCTGAGGTGCTGCATGAAGGGTTAGTTGAATCTAATTTTCAAATCCATAACCCCTCCCCTGGGTGAACTCTCATGGCCTGAAGCCCCATCTCTCATGGTGACAGGTTACCTGTACTGCTGAACGAGAGTTGAAACATGGCTTCTGCCCATGAGGCCATGCAATAACAGTATGTGCACAAATGTCCCTTGTTTTCCCAGCAGTGAGGGACAAGTGGTGAGGATAGAGCATGCTGCCGCGTTAGCAGCCCGTTAACAGCCCTGGTGTGTCTGCAGGGAGCAGAGAAACCATGGGCATGTTCCAGAGGAAAAATTGATCAAGAGGCAGAGCTTGGCCCTTGTCAGCTTGGGGCATTTGGAGCAGTGCTCAGAGAGGCAGAGATGAAGGGAAGAACAGAACAGGGCACTGGGGGAAAAGGGAAGAACTGCTGGGACTAGGGGGAACAGCTAATGGCTGTTGCCCCCCCGCCCCCATCCAGCTAGCCCAGGAGGGCTGCCCACACTGCACAAGAATACACAGCTAGCAGGCCGTGGGCGGCAGGTATAATAGGCCAGGGGAAGCCTCCCCTGGTGAAGCTGCTGCCGGACACCTGAACTATGTTGGCTCTGCCCCTTCCCTGAGGCCCGCACTGCCTGCTGCTGCCTGGTGAGTCCTATCCTCTCCTCCACTCCACCCCTCCTCCCTGCAGTTCCCATGACTCACTGGGGGTGGGGTGGGGGGTGTCTTGCAGTGAGCAGGGATGTGCTCAGCGGTGGTGGGGTGGCTGAGTGGGGAGGTTATGGAGCCTGGGGCAGGGCTTGTGGTGGAGCGGCGGTGGAATGTGGGCGGGGTCATGAGTGGAAGAGGTGGGACAGAAAGCTAACCTTCCCCAGAGGAAGCTTCACCCCAGAACAATGGAATTGGCCCATGCTAGCAATCTACCCCTCTTTCCAATCTCCATCCGTGTTAACATAAGAACGGCCATACTGGGTCAGACCAAAGGTCCATCAAGCCCAGTATCCTGTCCTCTGACAGTGGCCAATGGCAGGTGCCCCAGAGGGAATGAACAGAACAGGTAATCATCAAGTGATCCATCCCCTGTCACCGACTCCCAGCTTCTGGCAAACAGAGGCTAGGGACACCATTCCTGCCCATCCTGGCTAATAGCCATTAATGGACCTATCTTCCATGAATCTATCTAGCTCCCTTTTGAACCCCATTATAGTACTTGCCTTCACAACACCAATGTTTTCCTATCTGCTGGGATGTGTCAGTGTCTCACAATTGTATCACCGTAATTGTACAAGCAGCTTGCACTTCCCATGCAAGGACATGGCAAGCTGTGTGTTAAACAGCATCATGGCCCTCTGAGGCAACTGTGATTGCCACATTTTACAGCTAGGGAAAATAAAGCACAGAGAGGCAAAGTGACCTGCCCACAGTCTATGGCGGAGCAGAGGCTGGAATCCTGGCTTCCATCCACCAGTGCTTCCTTGTGAGCTCCTTCCCTCATGGTCCTTTTACATTCAATAACATTGCACACTATGCTAAAAAGAGAGTTAAGATGGTAAAGTCAAGCACTCAAATGCTAGGAAATGCCAGAGTTAAGGTGGCCTGTGCCACCTTAACTCTACCCCCTTGTCCATATGCATTATGACACAGCTTTTAATTATATCATTACAACCCTGCTTCCTAGAATACCCAAGGAGCTGACTGAGGAGATACCTGAGCCATTAACTATTATCTTCGAAAACTCATGGAAGACAGGAGAGATTCCAAAGGACAGACAAATATAGTGGCATTTTCCAATCTATAAAAAGGGGGATAAAGACAACCTGGGGAATTACAGACCAGTCAGCTTAACTTCAGTACTAGGAAAGACAATGGAGCAAATAAGCAATCAATTTGTAAACACTTAGAAGATAAGATAAGTAACAGTCAGCATGGATTTGTTGAGAACAAATTGTGTCAAATCAACCTAATAGCTTTCTTTGACAGGGTAACAAGCCTTGTGGCTAGGGGGGAAGTGGTAGATGTGGTATATCTTGACTTTAGTAAGGCTTTTGATACTGTCTCACATGACCTCATAAAGAAACTAGGGAAACAGCTGGACCTACCATAAGGTGGGAGCATAACTGGTTGGAAAACCCTTCCCAGAGAGTAGTTGTCAATGGTTCAGAGTCATGCTGGAAGGGCATAGCGAGTGGGGTCCCACAGGGATCAGTTCTTGGTCTGGTTCTGTTCAATATCTTCATCAATGTTTTAGATAATGGCATAGAGAGTACACATATAAAGTTTACGGATGATACCAAGCTGGGAGGGGTTGCAAGTGCTTTGAAGGACAGGATTAAAATTCAAAATGATCTGGACAAACTGGAGAAATGGTCTGAAGTAAATAGGATGAAATTCAATAAGGACAAAAACAAAGTACTCCACTTAGGAAGGAACAATCAGTTGCACACACAAAACGGGAAATGACTGCCTAGGAAGGAGTTGTGACGGGTTCGGTCACAGACACCCCCTTGGGACTGTCACCTGATGTGCTGGAATTACCTTTGAGCCTGTTTTCCCTGCCATCTTGGGACTCCAGAACCCTGTCTTGTTGAGCTAGACATGCTAGTCTGCTGCAACACAGACCCAGGTCTGGTCCACGCCCCCCAAAGCTGCTGACTT